CTTGGGATGTTGGTGCTGGCTGCTTTGTGGATGACTCTCGTGATACTTGGGATGTCCGTAGGTTCTTCAGTCTGCGCGAGAGTTCGGTAAGAGAGCTGATAGCCCTCCCAGTCGGCTTCTCCATACCGCCACCGTGGTCTTCTGGTGTTCTCCGGTGCCATTGCGGCGGATAACCGGATCTGTACCGGATAGTGGTCGCTGCCGTGTAGATCCGGGTTGATGCCCCATAGCATTTTGCCCGCTAAGGAGCGGCTAACTGCGGACACGTCGATGGCGGTGGTGTGCCGTCCGTTAAAGAACGTCGGACCCCCGTCATTTAGGATGACTAAATCTTCCTCCTCAAAAATATCGCAGATGGTGACCCCTCGTGGGTCCGCTCTTGGACAACCCCAGGCCGGGTGATGGCCGTTCAGGTCCCCAATGAACATTTTGGGTTCTGGTAACTGCCGAAGTATTCTGCGAATCTCGGTTCCTAGATTGGGTAGTCTTCCGCAGGGCAGATAGGCGCAGGCGATGTAGATACTAGTTGGGTCTTGGATCCGAATGCCGACAATAGGGAGGTCGGTATCGAGATCAACCATTTGATGGGGGACATTTTTACGGACTCCTATGGCCACAGATCTCCGAAGGTTAGATCCTTGTTTAATGGACCATAAGTAATCGCCGCCAAGTGTCTTATTCATCCGGTCCACCGTGACGTTGTTGACCTCTTGCAGGGCAATCACCAGGGGGGACGCACCGCTGCAGAGGAGTTCCAACTCCGCCAAGTGGAGAAAGTAGCCGCTGATATTCCATTGGAGCATAAGATTCACCGGAACCGGTAGGGCGGGGGTAGGAAACCCCCGCTCCGATCCGCTGGTTGAAGGTCGTTCGATTGAGCGGTGATGGCTCATTGCGTAGTAACTGGAATTTGGGGGTGTTCCAGTCGGACTTGCTGCGGCAGAACTTTGTGCCGAATGAGACGGAACCCCACCAGGGGCAGGTGGAGTCGTTCCACCCACCCGTGGCAGGGGCGTCCCAACGGTGGTGAAGAAATCTATCGTTGTATTTGAGCTTGGAACTATGTTTGAGGGTGAGCTACTGGTTTGGGACTTGAATCCCTCTTTGTCCTTCGGGGAATGGGAACAACTGCCCTTATCCGTCCCGATATTATGCTGTGCCTTGAATCCCACGTTGTCCGCAGGGGAATGGGGGCCGAGGCCGCCCTTGTCCGTCCCTCTTCCAGGTTCGCCGCAGCGCCGGGGGGTTGTCGCCGGTTCCGGTGTGGGGAAGACGTCCGCACCGACGGGGCCCCGGCTACTGTGGGCTAGTACTGGGTTCTTCGCCATTTGCATCTTCGTCCGAAGGTCCCAGAGGTTATCAGACAGTTCCAGTTGGGGTATATCTTCCGCACTGCCGGTGCCCTGAGTACCCACGGCACGGATATTTTCATTTGGTTGGCTCGGACACCGAGGGGGGTCCGAAGATTCCGGTTGGGGTAAGACTTCCGGTTCGACGGTGCCCCGGCTATCCATGGCTAATGTTTAAATCGAGAAACCTAACATTACATCAGAAGGTAATTATAGTGAACACGTTTATTACATCAAGGCTCTGGTTCCTAGCATCGGTGATCAGTATCCCAAACCAAGCAATCGCACGTTTGACTTCATACATCGGTAGCTTCATTTGGGAACGCTATCCAACCAGGGTTCCCATTGAGCAGCTCACGTTGCCAAAGAACATGGGTGAACTAAATCTACATCTTCCTATGCATAAGCGCAAAGCACTTCTAACCAACAGATTCCTGAAAGAAATTGTACATACGCCATTCGCAAGCTCGTTTATCCAACATTTGCAGAACCCGCCAAATTTAGCTGTCATTCCAGCTCTTTATCTCACCATTTTGTAGTCCGTATCGATCGATATATATGCCACAAAGATTGAAAAACTTGTTCTTGTTGTCGAAAGCTGTCCAATGAGTACGCAGTACATCGTAGACTAGTTTTTATTGCAATAAGGACACCACCACTTCTCAGTAGATTGTCACATCGAAATACAGAGTTATCTGACGTAACAGGAAGGGTGACTGACTTTGATAAAGGCGTGGACTTGATGTGAGAAGGAGAGGATGCAGCTGGGGACATTGCTAACAACACTTGAGCATAGCTTTAGAGGTCTTATTGCACCACAGTATATCATTGAACTATCTGTTTGCTGCACTACAGCAAACGTTGAGTTCTAGTTTCATTGTTATCTGTTTTGAGAGAGCGTGGTAACGGCGCCGGTGGTGTAGTGGTAAGCGTGATTACCTCTCACCCCAGCAGGCCTGGGTTCAATCCCAGTCGGCGCCGCCGGAATGTTCTGAGGCATAACATCTCTGATCACGCCTTCCTTCGGATGGGAAGTAAAGCCGTTGGTCCCCGGTTCATGAGTTGATGGGTCGATAGGTAGGGTCCAGGTGTGGGAGCTGCCTTGCTGGCACGTCGGTAGCATTGGTGCTCAGCACGGAAAACAAGATCGACGGAAAAAAACAAACCAAAGGGGAGAGAGCGTGGTAATTGCGGTCTTGAAATTTCGATATTTGTGATATTGAACTTTCGAGGTGATATAAAATGTCCACAGCCATTCACCTTAAACATCCATCTTGACTATGAATAAGAAAAATTTGGAATTACAGTTATATAATTTTTTTGAAAAATAAAAGTCTGATGTGCGGAAGGGCTGATAAATCGGGCATTAATCTAATCGAACACCAACACAGCCAGTTGTTGAAATCACCCTGAAAAATGATGGTTATACCTTCATCATTTTTCTTGTCCATTTGAAACATGTTTTACGTCGAAGATGCGTAACACATACCAAAACGGCCATGCCTACTATGTGGTGTTTAAGGGGCAAGATGATTCATAACATATCGGACCTGTTTAAATCGGGCGATTAGGCGGTAAGCGTGACTGCTATATCTTCCCAGTGTGTCTTTGGGTTCAATCTCAACCGAGGTCGTAGCGATTATTATGAGGCGAAAAAATCTCTAGTCATGTCTTCCTTCGTAAGGAAGCTAAAGCCGTTGATCCTGGCCCATGTGTTGATGAGTTCGATAGGTATTCATGGAGTGGAAGTTCCTGGTACTTGATTGCCGTCAGTGATTAATGATCAATTGGCAATCGACATTCGTCGATGATTGGCAGTGTATTGTGGAGCAGAGTCCAACGCTAAATAATAACTAAAAAAAAAAACGAGTTTAAAACATCGATTTTGTTTGATATTTTTAACTTTTTTAACGATCCAACCCACCGTTCAATCAGCACAAAATAACCTCATACCATAGCAAGTTCACCAAAGATGATTGTTTTCTGACTTGAATTTTCTTGGCAGCACATTTGGACTGGTCAACGCCAACATTTTCAAATTCTCATTGCTACTGGGTCACTTTTATGGCCGTTGTAACAGCTAATTTTCAGTTGACCAATAACTGGAAGGTGAATGAACTGTATGCTATGTTCGATTGCAATTTCTAGCTCTTCATGAAGCAGCAATCTATGGTAATTCGGCTTATCGAACTTGATAAATCTTTCCCGACTATGAAAAGTATGAGAATTTTTGTGGATTTGGGAATTAATCAGAAATTTCAGGCAATGATTTCGTTAATTTCTCGGACTTCAACAATTCAAAATTATTCGGGAGCTGAGTCATTAGATACCCTCTTGCACTTGGGCAAATATCAAGGTGTTCGTGAATGTATGTTGTTTGATATCCTAATCAGTCTAAATTTCTAAATTGAAATCTGTGCCTAGTTTGCAATAAATGGAAACTTTAAATTTCAAAATTCCCACCATTCGAAACGATTTCGTCTGTCTTATCACTCAATAGCCACTTGTTAAAATGTAGCCAAATCCTCAAACCCCCACACGGCAGCATAAATCCGGCTCTCACGCTCAGCCGCTATCAATTATTACGATTGCTGTTTTGCCTCTCGGCGGACATCACTCTTAATTCGACAATAAAATTAGGCTAATCAGATTAGTGAGCCGTAGCAGGCAGTGGAATTAGCACCAGCCACCAATTTGGGCTTTTCGGAGTCATTCCATTCCGCAACGAAAAAAAAACACGCTTTCGAATCCCCTTTGGATACTTTTGCCGGCTTGCATGAAATGAAATCGTATCCATCGCAAATCCGGCAGCCAGCGCCGCTTAGGGAATATTTTAATTTTGAATTTTAAATGCCTTCAGGCCGTACTGGGAAACGAACGGGAGTGAGGGAAAAAATATACATCCATGAAATATGAAGCCCAGATCAAACAGTGCTGCAGCATCAAGCTTTCGGCAAATGCTTAGCAGCTGGGTGGAAAAGCGTAGGAGGCAGCCGTCGTCGTCTTCGTCATCGTCGTCAGTCGTTTAGGCCGATTCGAGCCGGAGTTGGAAAGCGATCGTGAAACGACGTCATTTGGGTGGGGGTGGTACGCCCACACCCTCCGCGAGCGAGGATGAGCCCGTCTGTGGGGATGTGGAAAAAGACTAACCGTGCGATGGCACAGTCCGGGAAAAGAACTGAAATGATTAAGGAGTGACTGATGGGAGGGGGGGGGGGTCTGACGGAGGTGCGGTGGCAAACAAGTCAATTACGTCATTATGTGCTTTGAACTAACCCACATAAATCGCTCTTCCCTTTTCGTTTACTGACACATGTTTCCATCAGCCACAGGCAAATGGCATCGCAAGCTGTGTGTGTGTGTGTGTGTGTGTGTGTGTGTGTGTGTGAGTGCCTACTTATCGCTGAGTGTCACAGTAAACTTCTGAATTCGAAATGTTTTCCACCGACCGCCGCAGCACACGGAAAAATTACATTGTTGACTGGATTCGGACAGGGATGGATTTGGATCGGAATTCGGAGAGCTTTCCGGAGCTCCATGGCATGCAGTCAAAAGTTCACTGAAAAACAGCCCTGTTATTCGCCATTTACATATTTTTCCCGAAGAATGCTTTCCCACTAATGTCTGGAATTTGTTTATCTCTCGTTCTAGGGTCAATGTTCAGCCGGTACACTGCCTGTGGCCTGGATAAACGAAGGTCCTGGTCCACCGCGGTGTCCACCGCCATGCTCGGCTAAGTCTAATAATAAAAATAGTAATACTAAGGCAAACAATACTGATAATACTAAATATAACATGGAGAACCGGTTAAATGATAAACAACAGTGCCTTGACTATTTGGGCGATAATGAAGAGTTAAGTCCAGCACAAATTTGTAAAAAATCGTCACAAAGTATTGAGACCAAGTTGAAAACGTTACGTTTAAGACATTGTTGTGAACGTACTGTTGGCAGCGCGCTGCACAACGAGGCGTACGCCAGAGTGTTGCGCGGTGGTTCAGAATGTGTTAGGATGCTGAGTGACCTGCTGGAGACAGACGCGCTGGCCGCCAGGCTCACCTGCGAGTTCACCGAGGTGCTGGTGCGGTACGACTGCGGACAGAAGTACTCGATTATCCACCGTTGCGATGACTGCAAGGTAAGTGCCATCCACTCAACGGAATGCCAATTGCCACCGGACTCCACAAATACTTTCGCTTCCTTCCCGGTAGAGGGCGGTTCCGATCAACAGGCACTTTTTACAACGAAAAATCTGAATTAAAAATATTATTCATTAAAGGAAAGATTTTAGGGGAGCTGGGGGTAAAATCAACACTTGTCTTTAAGCGATTATTCAACAAAATATTAATTAATATTCACACTAAGAAATAACTCATTTTACACAGGGTGGAATCCATCCGTGAAATAAAGGAAGCGACGTAAACGAACATGTCATGTAAAATTGAGTGCTGTGAGGCAGAAAAGTTCGTTACTCGAAGAAAAGAACGGGAAATTGAGCTAAATTTCACGTCTGTTATGACTAAATTTTATGTAAAAATTGACGCTCGTATACGTCAGTCCCATTTAGAATTGAAACATACATATACGGATATACATGCTTGGCATGCACAGTTTTACACACCAGCTGCTCATTTCTTAAGCATTTGAAAAAGCTCCTTAGTATGCACCGCTTTGCACCATTTTGAAGTATAATTGTACCATATATCATCGGAAAAGTTGCTTTAGAAAGGTTAATAAGTACCATGAAATCAGCTGAAATGTTCAGTAAATCATTGTGTGCATTTGTGCATTTTTACTGAACATTTCAGCTGATATCATGGTACTTATTAACCTTTCTACAGCAGCTTTTCCGATGATATATGGTACAATTACACTTCAATGTACAGTTTTCTCTATTTTAGGGAGCGTACTTTAAATATTTACTGAGCATTTTAAGATTTTTAACGTATTTTGATCAATCATTTAAGCAGCAACCCGATCCATTTTAAGAAGATTTTTTTTACTTATTAAGGATAATTTCATCTGTTTTATTGAGCAAAAGTAGGGCTGCCATTCATACCGCTGTAGCACAGTTTTACTGTAATGACGCCTCGCAAGGCCAAAACATGACAGGTTGCTTATGGGATCGGATTAATGGCAATATTCGCTTTTGGAGACAATTCATCCCGAAAAACTCTAAATTGAATGTCTTTTCCGTGATAAAATCCTTTGTCTCCTACCGCAGCTTCAGATGCCCTGCCAGATCATGTATTTACGTGCTAATTTATCAGCAAACGCATACTTTAATTTGGCAGGAACATGTCCCCGAACCGTAGCCAAGTAAAATGTTTATTCGTTAGCTGATTGAAATCGGCCTTCATAGGTTTCATCATCGATGAGGAGGCAGCCCTTAAATTTGGTCAACACCTGATCATACAGCTTCTGGCCACATTGTTCTGCTTTTGATCCCTATTTGGTTGTCTGCAGGCACGGTATGACTTGAGGCTTTCCCGGAGACGAATCCGTTGCACGGTACTGCATGCGCTTCGAAGTTTTTGGCAAAATCGCGATCTGAGATTTTTGGGTTAGTGTCCACAGTATTCCGCAGTGGACAGTTGACAGTACCCGCCCGATGCTTGCTTTGTAGGTATTTCATTTCATCGGTTATGTCAAGATTTATGAGATCTAATACCAGCCACATCAGAATAAAAAAAACCACATCAACTTCATGGTTCGGTGTCAATAGATCAATTTAGATGGTCAAGTTTTGAACCCACCGCAGCATGTTTTTGGCGCTACTGTATATGAATGGTCAAATTTAAAATACTGTGGTAGCCACTGTATAGTTCTGTTAAAAACCTCAGCATTTTCATTGATCCATTATCAAATCTTCACGAGTATTCTAGATAAACAAATATAAAATTTTATTTCAAAGCTTGAGTGGCAATAAATGCAAATTAAAATTGGTTGACAAAGTGTTTCATTGATGTTAAAACCACAACGTCAATCGCTCCATAATGTCGCATACTCCTTTCAATTTCAATTTCAATTTCAATTAACATTTCCACTCCTTTACACATCACATTTTTTGGTACTTCACACTTAAAATGTTTCGCCGAGATTCCAACAGCCGAGTAATTCTGTAATTTATTTTGCTGAGATTTAGTAAAACAATTGCCGAACTCAGCTAACAAATAACATTTTGCTAAGATATCAGCTAACAAACAGATATTTTGCAGAGTAAAAGAGCAAAAGTAAATGCCGAGGTAATCGGCTGTTCGAGATTTTACCGAGCTAGATTAAGTGTGTACTTCCCAAATGACACACGCGTTGTTTTGTCAATTTGATTTCGAAACATATTAATGCAATATCTGATCGATGATAGAGCAGCTAAGACCAGGCTCAATATACTTCATTATCATCAAAAAAAAAAACATTGCATTGCAGTAATAACTACAAACAAAAAAGAGTCCTCGATTACTTTTTCGAAGGGACGTATCTGCTATTGTAAACAATACATTTGATACCCACGCATGCTAACAATACCATGAGGTAGGGAAAAATTCCAAATTTATCAGTTACGCCATCTCGGCCATAAAATGAATTTTTAACAAAAGCAGATACGTCCCTTTAAAAATTGAATCGAGAATTTTTGTTAAAGTTTTGTCATTTTCAACCAATTTCGGTGCATCAGGTTTCCAAGAAATCGCGAATTTCCACTGTCTATGATCATTTTACTCGCAGTTTCCTAACAACGTATCATCGCTTTGTTTGTAACATCTCAATTTTACATCCAAGAGTCAAAATCGGGAAATTAAAAAATCTGTTTTTTTCTGTTTTATGATAAATAACGGCTATTTGGGTTATTTAATCAAAAAGGATGTTTTCCCATACTAATTTCCACACAACTTTCAAATGCAATGCGAAAAACCGGGCTACAACCAGTCGTCCCCGAACGTTTCACAGTTCCTTGGGACCCCAAATGGAACCAACAAATGGTTGTTCTGTTAAAAGGATCATGATGACCAAATCCTAATAGACATGCAGAAAGAAGCAAAATATTTTCAAGATTCATGACTAGGAAGGATAATTGCGATTTCATGTATTTGAATTTCCTTTGAAAGCTTGTGAGAAAATTCAAAATTGTGTGTTTTGGGAAACTGAAATAAAATATGCATCCAACACCTCAATTAAATTTTCTAAATCACATAATTCTACACCCAACCGGGGGATGTAAGATTCGCTTACAATTATGTGGGATTCATCATCAGAGGATGTTAGTGGAGACCGCATGAACCGAGGATGCGATATACCTAGCTGCGGTCCAATGCAAGAAAATTGGAGACCGAAAAATGTAGAGTGTATTAGTGATTAATTATGTCGAAAAAAATAGGAAAAGGTTTGCCGACAGGACTCGAACCACGCAAACATGAAGCGCTCATTTTCTCGCATACTCGACTTCGTATGCTTCGTGTAGAATTTTTTTCAGAACTCGGAACGAAACGAAAATCATGGGAGGAAAGAAAATTCGACCATTCCAGGAAAGTCATTATACATCATCCAAATCCCTTGAAGATATATTCATTGTATTATGTAACTGCATCGCCAAATAGATTTAATAAGAAAAATTTGGTATATATTGTTCCAGCAGCTCCAGCCAAAAATAAAAAATTAAATGCCCGGAATCAGTGTTGGAAAATTTCGCGATATTTCACAAAGTTCGGCAAGTGAAAAGTTCACGAGTCATAGTGAGTTTTCGCGAACTTTTCCACCACTGCCCTGAACCCTACACAGCAAAAAAATAATTTTGATATCACGTCAAAGTGGATGCACTACAATCATGTCGAAAATATGGTGTAATATTACTTGCTAAAAAGGACAAAATTATCTTTAATACAATGCGTGAACTGACATTACGCTGCTTTTACTACATTTGTTTATTTATGTGGTCATAAAAATTACATGAAATTTTCGACATGATTTTAGTGCATCCACTTTGATGTGATATCAAAATTATTTTTTTGCTGTGTAGTTCCCGACTTAAACTCTTTAAGAGAAGATTTCAATGCACCGTTATTTTCAATCCGGATTTAATCGAACCAACAATTTGAGCTGATTGAAAGTTGAATAAGCGCAGGGGATGACCCCGGCGTAGTTGTTAGCATCCATACCTCTCACGCCAAAGTCACGAGTTCAAATCTCACCCCGGACATGTCACGAATGACCCAAGAGCGTTAAAGGACTATAAAAAAAAGTTGAATAAGCTATTATTTAGCTTTTTTTTCAACTTTCAATTTTTTTTGGGAACCTTCTTATCCAGAATTTGAAGTAGGGTTTTTGATGTAATTCCCACGCTTTATCTCTCTTTTCTGAACGAGTTTAAACAAAAAAGGGGATTATTTCTGTCGAAGATGTCTTCTAAATTTATTCACCTTTCCATACGTACCGTTGGATTTGATAAAGAGCTACACATTATTGAGATATTGCTTAAAATCTAATACTGCGTCTTGATTCTAAAATCGTCCTACGAGTTTCAATTCCGTCCAAACGCACTGAAACGCTATTAGATTTTCTTCGTCCTACGGATAAACGTAGAAAAAGAGGATTCGTTAGGAGCGCTTCATTTGTTTTGAGAACAATGAGCGTAAATATACATACAATGCACTATAATAGGATTCATGTTGTAGCTAATGAACTAATGCATCGGAACAAACCTATTATTGATTTGTGCACGGTCAGATCATTGATATTATTGATCTTTTCTGATCGATAGAACGGAAATGGGCAATTACGACGAAGTAGCGCTCTACCCTAGTAGTCAACATAATTTCACCATCTCGAGCTCCTTAGTTCGATAAATTCCTTCGGACTCCAACAACTCCTTGACTCCGACTCATCGACTTCGACTCCTTGACTCCCGCTCCTCGACTCGGATTCCTCGACTGAGTTATGAGATCAATTTTGATCGAGAAAAAATATTTTTTTTATGGTTACGGTAACTTACAAGCTTCCTTTTCTATAGTAAAAGTTTCTTTTATAATAGATTTTAAAAGGGTGTCCCACATCAAATTGCATCACGGAAAAAACGCTGTAGAAAATTACCTAGTGGACCGATATTTTGCAAACTTCCAGATAATAAAATATAACCCATTGGTAAGC